ATCCAGGGTTTTTCTTCGTCCCTTTTGAACGATGAGGGCTGCGTATGCGACATCAGGAACTGTCATGCACACAGCACAAATCATCCAGCTGCATTCAAAGTGTTCACTGTACTTTATGCTTCGCCTGAGATGTGGTCTTCATAATCTAGTCAATAACCGGAAGAAAGAGGAAAGGTGAGTGTAGGGAGTCTTTTCTAACACCAGTCGTCCCTTGGAACAGATCTGTGAGTTGCCCTGCGTGCACGATTCTGAGATTCGGTTAGTTATAGAATCGATTTCTCTTCTTAAACACAGTTATAATATAAATGAATAAATAATTTTTCTGCTCATTGGGATATTACAAATACATTATTTATTTATAACAATCTACCCAATGCTCAATTTATTCGAAATTCTCAAGTCAAACCTTGGTAATGATACCTACAGTTATAATAGTACAAATAATCATTTCTCGTCACCGTTTATGTAGCGATATTTATTTTCATGGAGTTGGGTTTTTAATTCTACGACTGGCCGCCTTGCTTTTTCTGAACATGGGAGTGATAGTATCTGCAAAGTGGCCCGGGTGAAGTTAAGAACTAATGAGGTCGTTCTTCTTGAATATATTAGTTTGATCACCTTGAATCAACGTCAGTATTTTTGTGATTTCTTATTGTGTTTTCAGAAGAATTTATTTGAACACACAATACTTTGTTATAATCTTGTTTTTTCAATGTTTATTAAATGACTGATATTAGCTAGTAGGTGTTAATTTATCGTTGTTTTACTCTGATTAGTTTTTGATGAAAATCTTTTATCTATATAAATAATGCTTTACATATTATATCTTTAATTATTAAATCCATCAGAGGTACGGATATACCACTGTTAATATCATTCTGAATGCGGTTTTGCTGCTGACGGAATCTCGCTCTAAGTAATCAATAATCCCATTAAAACTGTGTAAAGTAGTAAGTTATTTTTAAATTTAAACAGAAGTAATTATTACCATAGTGAAGTTTGTACTATACTGTCACAAGTAATATATTATCCCATAAAGTCATTACCAAATATATATTTACCGCTACCACCAGGTAGATCAGCAGCACATATAACTTATAAAATTAGTAACAGTACATCTCTAGAATTTTGACTATCATGGGTAATGCTTTTTTTGAAATAGTTTAAAGCTTTAATCTATGAAATTACTCAATTTCGATTGCCAGCTGTATCATTTTATGACTGAGGTGCATTGAAAATGGACTGAATATGGATCTTTTAAATAGTGTGATCTCAAACCATTGCTAATCAATCTGTCCACCTTCATGCTCATACGATTATGATTACATAACTTGGAAGATTTGCACTGCTAACCAGACGTAGACTAGGACGGAACATTTAGTCACAAATTTCTAGTTCCAGTTGTCATAGGGACTTTAGTCAGTTCTCACAAATCATATCTCTAAAAGTATCTCCACAAAATAATTTTATTCACTTAATCATTTATTGACATAAATTCTGTTTTGTTACGTGGACTGTGCTCTTACGAAATCTATTTGATGTCCAGTATAAACTGAGCCCTGTTTTCATACATCAACAATGTTAGACAACAGATTAAATTTGACTAGATTACTTTATTGCAAGTCTAAAGAAAAAGTTACTTTCAAAATATAGGAAACAATTCTGATTGTTAAATCCAATTTGTTGGTTTGGAACTGAGATTATTTCATTTAATTGAAATCAATTTTCACTGAATACAAAAGCTATGTACAGGTCAAAAGAGGAGTGATGATTGAACCTTTACTCGAAACAATTACGATGCATGCATCCTTGGAGGTAGTATGCTCTAATTCAGGTAATACGTTCAGCAATGTATAAACCAATCATCGTTATATAGGAAACTTATTTACAAGTCAGACTTAGTCACATGCATAATCAGACTGAAACTATAATTCGTTGGTTATAAGTCACGTTGAACATCTGAAACACAAAATTAACATTTTATTTAAAAAAAAATATAATATAACGGAATCTTAACCTAGAATAAAACACTTCTTGATTACTTCCTCCTTATTATCTATCAAATAATTTATTAGAGAAACAATTTACATATATCTTTGAGAAAGTGTCATAAGATAATTCGATTAAACAGTACATTGTAACTTATATATATCAAATGGTTTGTGGAAATGCACAACTAACCCAATAGGAATAGTTTCCAGATTATTTATTGAGTAACTCAGATATTATTAGGCTTCCGATTTTATTGGATTTCATTTTCAATACTAGTGAGGAGCAAAGCTATTGGAACAATTGAACTTTTGTAAATTGCTTTATTGTTATTTTTGAGGTATCAGCCTAGTTGTTCAAACAGCCAATCTACAAACGATTAGTGTCAACTTTGTTCTCCTTTCTACATACTGCAGTTCGAAACATTGCTGCCGAAAGTTAGACGCCTGAATATGGAGCTTGTAACTGAACCAAACTATTTTGTACCTTGAAGGGATTGTCAGAGTGGGAAATATAGAGTTTAGAAGTGGAGAAAAGAATAGAGATCCAGAATTGCTTGGAAATTCGGAATCTTAACCACTATGAGGTTTAACAGTGTATTATGTATGCCCATACACTGCCTAATCCTGAAGTTGTATGTTCACTGGACTTAGATTAAAATATAAAAGGTTGAAGGTGGTTAAAATAAGACATTTCATCAATCCATGTAGTTAGCAGCTAATAGTTTGGGCAACATGCTAGGAGATTCAGGCTTCCTAGTTGATATAGAAAAATAATCAAAATCAATTGTTGGAAGCCTCAGGGTACATAGATCAAGAACATTTGAAGCAGAGAATAGGCGCATTACTTACTTTCGCCTAAATCTTGAGTAGTATTATTTTACACTTTAAATTATCATATGATTCGTCTCTCTTGAATATTATTTCTAATATTGGGCTGCCAATATTATTTGCATTTTTACTTCATAGCTTTTCATTTTCTTGATATTCTCACATGAATTTTGGCGAACTGCACATTTATGACAGATCCTCATTTTTTCATGACCGAGTTACGTCGTGTTTAAACTTCATAGGTTGGAACATCGAAATTCACTCAAATTAAGGTGAAAAATCAGTTCAATATTACATTTCTACGCTGATCCTTAATAATGAGAAAGTTTTTGACTCTCAGTAGGATTAATATGAAATACTTTATGGGTTACAGGCTATCACCCTGCTGTAAACCTGCAGGATTCCAATGATGAACAGCTTCATTTTCTACTTCACTATCGTATTAAGAGTTGAGTTTATGAAATAATTAACCTTAATCTAAATATTATTACCGTAAGAAGGTGGAAAGTGATAATTCTTCCTATTGCTCAACTTGTTTCGAAGTGAATTTTATAACCTTATCAAACAAGAATAACTTTCTTTGGAAGTGCTGGAAAAAATGTTACTTATTACTTGATCAGATGAAGAATGTGGATTAACTGAAAGTACATTTAACATAAAATTGTTTGAAATTTTCAGCCATTAACTTGAAATATTCAATTCATAGTATTTTTGGTTGGTAATTCAAATTAATATACCAAATAAGAATTCCCGTAATAGTGCAATTTAAGGCAAGTAGAAATAGATGAGCACAATTGAACGTATTATATTTTGAATTCGTAATAAGCGTTCTATCAAGCACCAAGGAACCATCAGTTTGTTAAAGACAGTCGATAACTTTGAGTAAGTCATTTCTTTGATATTATAGCGATTACTGTGTTGGGTGAAACTGATAGGAAGCCCAATACTCACGCTCAGCTTACTACTACCTAATATGTTACACATGAAAATTCATGTTTCATTCTGAATATGAAATTATTTCGGTTTGTTTTCGATACTAATATATTCTTCATAAAACAACTTCACTAACAGATTTTGGTAAGTATCAAACCGTTAATAAATTTGTCTGCATTGCCAATTATAATACCTAGACATTAGAATCCTTCAAAAAGTAAGAGGATACTCTAGGATAAGGAAATATCCGATAGTTGCTGAAGCAGAGACAAGCAAATTTGAGTTCGTTACTTATTTTACAAAGTGACTTGTAATTCAGCAAAAATTTAAAAAATGCAGAAACATTGGTTAGTTCTAATAACCCTTATATTTGTTCAGGTACTAAGAAATTTAACAGACCGATTCCTAGACAGACTAATTTGCATTTTTCTTGTTTCGAAATTACGTGATATTATATAAACTACTTATTTGTAAAATAGTAGATTAGATGACATCAGAATCCTTCAAAAAGTAAGAGGATACTCTAGGATAAGGAAATATCCGATAGTTGCTGAAGCAGAGACAAGCAAATTTGAGTTCGTTACTTATTTTACAAAGTGACTTGTAATTCAGCAAAAATTTAAAAAATGCAGAAACATTGGTTAGTTCTAATAACCCTTATATTTGTTCAGGTACTAAGAAATTTAACAGACCGATTCCTAGACAGACTAATTTGCATTTTTCTTGTTTCGAAATTACGTGATATTATATAAACTACTTATTTGCAAAATAGTAGATTAGATGACAACTGGTTTTTAACAGAAATATGTTTGTCTCAATTGCTAGTTATTCGCAAATTAATAATGAGAACTTTTATTTCACAAGACTTGTGGTTATTTTGTCATTCAACTTTATTTAAACAGTGTAGTAAAAAGGAATCCAGAAGGATCTTGTTGGAATTGTAAACTAGATATTGTGCGCATCAAAGGTGAACCATTTCCAGTTGATTCGAAGTTGACTGTACGAACTAGGGTACTACACCTTAAAAATCACATTAGTAGAAGTAAATAAAATATTTTCTAAATACAGTGTACTAGATGTTCCACAGTTGTGACCTTTGTAGAAATGATGAAATGAAAGTCACGAAATTGTAATTTCTAACTTATGAAATGTTCTGATAGCTGTTTACAACGACATACCATAGGGGAAAAGACCGAATGTAAAACTCGAAATTGACTTTGACTCCTCAAAACACTTATTGAAAAATAAAGGCATTTAGAAATAGACTATAATTGATCAAAGTTGCTAAATATAAAGCAACAAATATACTCATTTTTAATAACTCATGATTAGTTCGCAATCAATACCAGTAACACATGCACACGATTCAACTTGGATTCTTTATCAGATTCTTTAATAATGTATCTTTCAACTGACACTTGATGGTAGATGCTCAAATATGAGCGATAAGTTTTAAGGATTTAGATAGGATTTTCTTGATTTTTTTTACCAAATTTCACAGCTGGAGGATGTCTCTAGATTAAAGTACAAAATCAAATAAAGAAATACTATTAGAATCACCGTTACTACAAATGGGTTAATAGAAAAATCACTTATACACATTACTTTCGTTTAGCTAAACACTTTAGGCATATTTGCCTACCTTTGGAACATAGGAATTTTATGAAATCATGAACGGATACAACAGAGCCATGAGAGCACAGCAATACTTCTTTTGAGAAGACTTTGTCAATCTGTCCAGGAATCCCTCTCAATTTCGGAGGATAAATATCTGAACTGTCTGTTGATTTGTTTGATGACCTATTGCCTTCAGAATGAAAAGTAAAAAAACACATTACAATCGACAAAAAACCAAACAATAACTAAAATATTTTTCAGATATGTAACAGTCAAACAGATGATGGCAAACCATCAAGATTTCCATTTGTCCAAGAAACCTAACAATATTTCTTCGACTGAATAAAAAACTATGAAGATGACGGCACTGCATGACTTACACACAGACTAAACTTAACTTGTATAATCAACTCCACACACTGCAACAAGTAATTTCATTTAACTAACCTTTTTGATGAACGTAAACTACTACATAACACGAAGTGAACTGGTTAATGAAGGAAAAATAATAATGAGGAATTAACAAGCTCAGAATCTCAAATAGGAAGATAAAGAGTGGATACATCTGAATCATCGTGAATGATGTTGAGTCGTGCTATTTAAACTCTAACTACTGGTTATGATAATTAAACGGATACTAACCAGGTAGTCTATGCCTAATAACATAGCTCAGTTCACTTGTCAATGACTTCATGAACTGATACCATGTTTTGATTTGGCCTCCTCTAGCTTTCTTCCAGCTTACTTCACCACAAAACCGCTCGTCGAGGTAGGCAGTGGTTGACTCTTCACGAGCCTCACTTAAGCGTCGGATAGATGTTATTATTATATCACGACGAAAATAATGAATGAAAACTTTTGAGATCCATTTATGGACCAATAATACACGTATATTTTTGTCGTATAATTGTTAAGTAACTATACTATTCATATTCGTGTCCCTCTTATTATGAGCTTTATTTCGATCTGTCAACTATTACTATACGATTTAAAATTCTTGAGTTATGCGCTATATATTAATTACTATATCAGACATTCACAGCCACATTCGGTTAACTTTCGACTTTTCGAACATTGGCTTAAACGCCGATGGGTCTTTTTACTGTAGCTTTTCTGCATCCCGTAAGATGCAGATAAAACGTACTTGCACCAGAGAACGATTAGAATCTAAACATATGTACTAAAATGGTCATTAGTCTTCTACTTGGCCTCTTCAACGATGACTGGTGAGAATCTGGTCTATTTGAATCCATCTTTGAGTCAATTCGAGTGGAGGTGGTAATTTAGTCGGACGTCTCAACCGAGTATAGATCATACATCGGTAAGACCACCATCAATTCAGCTTCTTCTTCAGCAGTTTACTCCGTTCTAATTAATGGGCGTAAAACACGATTATTAAGAATGGAAGGTATTCGTAGGTTACCGGCAGACTATAGGTGTCTTCGAAGTATTGCTCAGGTATTTTGGGACCATCGAGTAACCAATCCAGGAGTCAGGGATAAGGTACTGCATAAAGATGCCAAGCCGATTGATGAGGTAGTAATTCTTCATCAACTGAGGTGGTTGGGACATGTGTTCGTACGCCCAACCACTGCCTACCTGGACGAACGGTTTTTTGGAGTAAGCTGGAAGAAAGCTTAAGGAGGCCAAACCCAAACATAGTACCGGTTCATGAAGTCACTGACAATTGAACTGAGCCATCTTAGTAAATGTAGATTACCTGGCTGGAGTCTGCGTAATAACCAATGGTTATAGACTTTTAATGAAATGGGTTAAAATCGTTTGCAATCGCCTAGGTACATCCGTTCTTCCCTTAAAATCTGGACTTCTAGACTCCTCACTTTATTTTCCTTATTTATATTTTCTTGTCGAGTCGTGACTTCAGCACCTAATCTTCCCTTTATCACTGATACTGTTACATCTACTACTCGGAGATTTGTTCTGAAAATTTCATCTCCCTGGGTTAATGGGTTATAGGATCTTGAACTGACCTATATACGTACCAGGTTGTACGTTGTGATTGGCCAACTGACACTGTTGTGGATAGGATAAAATGACCCGGGATGTTTAGTGTTTTGCATTATAATAAGCTTGATTCAAAAGCACGTGAATATACACGAAGAGAGTGGTTATAAATGAAATAGTAAAAGTTTGTTAATAACAATGTATGAATTACTATTGGATGCTGAACTTCGACTTTGCACGCTGACATCACAGGAGTCCAATTTAGCTGGTTGTAGCTTTTTCAAGTTCTTCAATCTATTGGCTTTCACTTTGAGAACTAAGTACTTATCTTCCAAGATCCCTTCTGAACAATCGCCTGAGTATCTTTTTGGTCGCCAAGTACCAGCAATTATTCTTCGTACAGTAGCTGCACTTCGTCCAAAATACTTTGCGATTTCTTCAACATTTGCCCCCTCTTCATACAGGTTTAGAATATTTCCGCGTTCTGATTCAGTCAAATATCGACCCACATGCCTTAAATATGTAGCGGATTTCATTTAAATCAGTTTAGCCAGAAAAAAATAAAGTTTAATTAATTACTTATACAACTATTTGTGGAGCCCAACATTTATTTAATTGTTAAATTGTCAACTAGAAACAACAAATTAAGCTCCTAAAGTGAGCAAAAGTAATTATCAAGTTTAAGAAAAATAGACGGTCCATCATCAAAGACCATGCATATTTTAAAAGACAGATTTTGCTGAAACTATTATCAAATACCGCTTGAGAGATAAAAATAAAAACTTTACAACCACTAGATATTTGCAATGACGAAAAAGTGAACAACACGTTTACAGGGTTGTTTGTTTAAAGAAAATGTTCGCGCTAACAAGATGATTTTAAAGGCAAATAATAGATTAGTAGTTTAAGTTACTTCACTCAAACTTACATTTAATTTCTCGCAAGAAGGTAAGTTTAATTTTTTGTTCCTAAGAGGTCGGCTATGAACTGTAGACAAAAACCAATCCTTTAAAAGACATCGTCAGATATAACTACCGCCCAACGAAAGCAAAAGAGATGGAAAATACAGTGGCTGTAGGCAACACCAAACAGCTTTTCAGACTGATAAAAGAGACCGGGATTAAGAAGTCAAGTGTGAGACAATCTGGGTACTCTTATCTACTCTTAGTCTGGACGCTTAAAACGATGGTCGCAACACTTTTAGGATCAGTTCAGCTGGTCTCCAACTGCCCACCATTTCTAAACAGCCTGATTTGAACATTGAAATAGGGCCCCGAACCTTAATTGAAATTAAAGGAGTCACAGCTAACCTAAGATGAGAAAAAGCAGATCGTCCAGATGGGTAAACTCCAGAAGAATTTAGCGATGGTGGCCCAGTTTCGGCGATTACGTTGAATAATATTTTAGCTAAAATCTGGGAGTCGAACGTAATCCCATCTGATTGGTCGCAAGCACTGATTGTCTCAATGTATAAGAACGGGTAAAAACCAACCATAGAGGGATTAATTTGACTAATATAGCATCCAAAATACTAGCTTCCATAATTACCGGACGCCTAACTAAAACTCGTCAGCTGCAATCACGAGAAAATCAGGCCGGTTTCACACCTGGTCGTGGCTGCATCGACCACATATTCAACATTCGCCAGACTCTAGAACACAGGAATACTTATCGGCGTTCCACAATGATGGTCTTCCTTGGCTTAGAAGCGGCATTTGACTCTGTAAACCGAGAGGTGCTGTGACAGTGTCTGTCATTGAAGGGTGTACCTCAAAAGTACTTAAACTTCGTCAGGGCTCTTTATTTGAACACTACAAGTTCAGTGAGAGCTTATGGAGAACTGTCATCTGATTTTACAACCTCAAGTGGTGTCCGGCAAGGCTGTCCGCTATCTCCAAGTTACTGAAGACTAAACCGAAACGCGTTATCAGTTCATGAAGTCAATGACTTTTCATCTGAGCCATGTTGGTAGATACAAGCTACTTGAAGTTCGCGCGAATATGGCAATGAATGGTTGGAGACTCTAGGTGGCATGGCTCAGAACGGATTACAATGGCGTAGGTGTATACCCTCTTTGTCCCCCTTTAAACCGTGGGATTGAAATCGCTTCATATTTTTTTTCTACGAACTAACTTTTTTTCTGTACTGCATCCTTACAGAGAATCATTCTTTTATATATTACAACTATTGAGTTGACTGCTTCTATGAATTCGGTGTTCGTGTTGCTGTGCTAATGAGTTACGGCAACTTGGAATGATGCACATATGTGCCTGGTCCTACGTTGTATTTGACTGACCAGCAAGTGATGATCTGAAGTTATACCAACTCCTCTCTTAGTGTTAACATCCTCCTTAGTCCTCCTGAACTTTTTATTGATGCAGATATTGTTGATCCTCATACGCAATCATTTTCTATATTACTACGATTGCGGTAACTGCTTTAACGAATTTAGTGTTTATCATGATTTGCTAATGAGGTATGGTAACTTGGTCCTACGTTGTAGTTGACTGAATAAATTATTGTTGAAGTGGCCTAATAGAAGACTAATGCTCATTTTGGAGCATATGTTTAGATTTTAGTCATTCTCTGGTGCATGTACGGTTTATCTGCATCTTACGCGATGCAGAAAAGATATAGCCCCCAAATGCCCTGGTACGGCCGAGAGTTGGGAGAGTCAGCTCTCCCTCTCAAAATGCTCTCACATGGTCACGCGTATATAGCCTCTGCAAGGGAAGTCCTACTCACTGCCTTCTCGTGGCGGGGGTGTTGTTTACAAAAATGAGAGGACGAAAAGCGAATGTCCGGCGCTTTAACCGGATTCCAAATCAATGGTGCACATGGGCTCCAGTATCCTGTGGGAACAAATGGCTTATGAACCAATCGTTGGTCACCGGATACCATGGGACTGCATCTCCTTACGATGCTCTGCTACCTTGTGGATCAGACCCTCAGGTCGAGGGCTCGGGGTGTGCCCCCCTAAGAAAACCACCTGTTTCGGTTTGGGCACCCGGGCAGTATCACAGCCCTCACACATATCGAATGAGATTTGTGTGGCGCATATGTATTTGATGCCTCTTTGTACAAATATCTATGTGTTGAAATAAAAAAGTAAAAAGACCCATTAGAGTTTAACATAACGATCGAAAAGTCAAGAAGATATTTCGGGAACAACTACAACAGTCCACCAACTCTTAGTGCATTTTAAAAGGCTGTAGGTAATCTAAAGCAGGAAAGAGCAGTAGAGACAGATGGCTCAGCTCCAGAGGTCTCTAAGAATGGTTGTCCAGTTTCAGCAGTTAAATTTACTGAGATCTTAGCTGGCGTCTGGGAACTGGACGTAATCTTATCTGACAAGTTTGGATCTCTGACCTTCCCATTCTACAGGATGAATCAAATAGAGTAATATAACATCTATCCGACGCTTAAGTGAAGCTCGTGAAGAGTTAACCAAAAGACTAGCTTACTGAGCAGCAGTTTATTCCGTTCTAATAAATGGGCGTAAAACACGATCATTAAAAATAGAGGATATTCGTAGGTTACCGGTATTCGACCATAGGTGTCTCCGAAGTATTGCTCAGGTATTTTGGGACCACCGAGTAACCATTCCAAAATTAAGGGGTAAGGTATCTCGACAAGCGGTGTTGTGGTGAAGTAAGCTGGAAGAAAGCTAGAGGAGGCCAAATCAAAACATGGTATCAGTTCATGAAGTCATTGACAAGTGAACTGAGCTATGTTATTAGGCATAGACTGCCTGGTTAGTGTCCGTTTAATTACCATAACCAGTGGTTAGAGTTTAAATAGCACGACTCAACATCATTCACGATGATGCAGATGTATCCACTCTTTATCTTCCCATTTGAGATTCTAAGCTTGTACATTTTCCATCATTATTCTACAATCCACTGTTTTGTATTTTTTTCTCTTGGAATCGCGTCTTGGATGTTGTTCTTTCTTTTGACACTGAAACTATTACTACCTTTACCATTATGAAATTTCCTAATGTCATCTCACTGTGATGACGAGGTATGGTTACTTGAGTCGATTTACATACGTACTGTGTGACGAGGGTTTGGACTAGTTTTTTCGATAGTATTGTTCATCCAAACAGAAATGACACAAAAAGACGATGTTACAACTGTCTGCAGTCAGTTATATCAACAATTACTGTAGCGGTAGTTATTCAGGTGTAAATAATTACTAACTGAAATATATGGAGTAAAGGAAGTGGTATTTTAATATAGGAACGAATATTTCCCATCACTGCAACTGACTTCGATCCACATAATCAAGGAATTCTAAAAGCACTACTTCTTAAAAATTAGTGAACTTTTGGAATATCTATAATTCCAAGTAAATTGACCGGTACAAATCAGCAGACTAGTGGGTCACTAATTAGCAAACAGACTTTCTAGTTCGCATTACTTCAGATAGGTATTAGCTGGATATATATGCGTTATATTACCTTAGAGGGATACTGAAAAACATGAGGATCTAAGGATGAATAAGATCAATGGATTGTCATGTAAGCTATCAGTGTATCTAGGGAAACTACCGATCATAAACAGCCAATAGGATGGTTCTTCAACACTGTAAATCATTAAAACTTACTTCATTACGAATGTAGCGGTCCGTGTTTAGCCAGAAGGTAATTTGTGTACTACAAGAGCACGCAGAGTAGTGTGAGGACTAGAAGAGAATGACAAAAAAGGTGAGTCAACGACACAGCAGGCGCACAAAATGCACTAACATTTAATAACGAAAGCCTCAGATTAATACAATCCTGAAATAAAAACTAGAACTAGTCGTCATACCGCCTTCAGTTAACAACAGCTGTTACCGTATGGTTAAAACAATAATCAATGAAATTGAAATTAAAGTACGCAAAAAGAAAAGTGTTAAAGACTTGCTCTTAATCTCAGGTTTCAAAGCCCACTGATGCATTTCCTGGCAGAAAAAATTCTAAATCGTATATACTGTGGCGACTATGTATATATCACAAACGTTAATAGACCTTCATAATTAAGTTCGTTCGTAGGCCTAACAACATCGTGCTGGGTCATAAATAGGCCTTCATGATTAATGTAAGAATTAGAACTTCCGACACAATTTTGTAAATATTCGTGTCCGATAAGAGCAGATTCAAACATTAACTAATAATAGTCATATGAAATTTAGCGTGCTGTTATGGTAGAAAGTGCGTCGTTCTCGGGATCTCGGCAAGCCATGGTAGATGTTTCCGCATCCTGAGCACTGTTTTAAACGTTTTATTATATTGTTACAATTTTAGGTGTTTCAGTGTGAGAAATTTTATTGGAAAAGCAAAGTTCTTAGTCTTCGGATTGGATTTCCACATTTTGAGCTGCTTGTTTCATGCATTATATGTTGATCGTAGTTATGCACGTTTTAAGAAATCACAATCCAGCTGTTGTCATAAGCTACTTTTTAGCCATTTTTGGTAAGTGCTGAACTTTGAAGGTTTTAATCGCCATTTGTATCCTCAATTATGATTTTGACTCGGTTAGATGCTGATTTGAAGACTAGCTTTGGTTTTTTCTGGACAAATGTACATAAACTCGCAAAAACACTACTTTGCTGCACAAATTAGTGGTTTATTCGAATAAACATATCTATCAATAATACGCTAGCCTCCTCATTATGGTTGAGAACAATTATGGTGTAATGGGTTTAAGGGAAGGAATACTTGGATTCACCTTATAACATTGCTGTTTTTTGTTTATCTAATCAAGTAGGACCTGGAAAGTTGTTTAAAAAGGGAGATAGGCTACCGGTCAATCACGGTTCTTACTGGTGCATTTGATAGTAAATAGGGCTATTAAAAAGAATGTAGATTCCATTGTTACAGCCGAACTTTCAAATGGAAGTAAAATACGTGAAAATAAGTACAAATAAATAAAAGCATGATTAACTGTCCTTCCACTATATTCATTAAAACCATCTGACAGTCAGAACCCGATTTTTAGTGGTTAAATAAGAGCTTTTTCACCCACAGTACAAAATTCCTATGTAGAATTTGGAGACCACGTTTCTGCCTAGTGGTTGGGATGGGCTACATTTGTACTACAACCACTTGACATCATCTATCATTTATCTTGTTTTCGTTAAACATACTGGTAATTATTCTACTATCACTCTTTTACATTATCATTATATAGTCGTTCACATTGCGAACAACAGGTATTCTGCCTGGTAGTTGGATAGTTCCTGATCTCAACAACTCTAATGGCTTATTACGAAGAAATATTCAGCCTTATAAATTGCAAATACAATTTTGGATTATCATTTGACACAACTTTCTTTCGAACCCATCGGTAGATATAGCTTCACCCACGTACTGAGTTAAGGAAGTTCACTGGTTGATAATCCTATAGAAAGGTCGTCAGTCGTCAGAGAAGTAAGTAGTTCTCAGCGAATTAAGTGCAAACTTAATACCATGTAGTAAAAAAAGGAAAATTCTGTCACTTTTATTTCTTCTATGCGGCGAGGGAAATCGTTTTGGCCTAATTAGTTTCTCGTTACACGGCAGCTGTGCGATTGCAATAAGTAACATAGATTCTGTCCTTTGACTACTTCCCAATAACTATGTACTGCAGATTCCATACAATACATTCGCTAATAAAGCATCACTATGATCTACGCACTACTTAGGTAGTCTGTGAATAAGTGGACTTCATTCTTTAGTTCCTCCCTAGTTGATATAGTACTACTATCACGAAATGATTCAGAGACGCCTTCTGCTCTCTTCGTCCCTTGTACTGTGTAGAAGTATCAGCACTTTGGGTGTTTTACAGAATCCCTAACAGTCTTTCATTTACACCTCCTTCCGAAATTCCAAGAAGATACAAATAATTATGGCTTCCCAAAATTAAAATCATCTCACCAGAGAGCGGTGAAATAAATCTCGCTCACGTATTTTTCCTTACACAAAAAGTGAATAAGTGTCTTTACTGAAAAATCATGAAGGTTATCTGGGATTCTCTGATGAGTTAGTATTACGTGTGACGTTGTACCTTTTGCGCACTAATTCTCACTTACTTCCAGTCCGTTGATGTTAGGGATATTTGTGCTTCTTTTCCAATTGCTAAGCCTGCAGATTTTTAGTATATTTGATTTCCAGAAATTTCGACCGGCTCTCTTTGACATATAGATATTGACAATTGTATGAAGATCCAAGAATAAAACTGCATTGTTCCTCTTACTGAGTTGCATGTAGTGGTAGATAAATGCCCATCCATCAAGGATATTACTGATGAAACAGTGGTCTGCGGCTTCGTCCAAATATACGAGGCTTTTTTGTTCTGCACTTCCACTATAACTAGAAATTGTGGAAGCCAGTTTGAATCTGGACTTTACCGTTGTCTGATAGAGCTATTAGGAATCACACGACTCCGGACGAATGCTTATCATCCATAAGCAAACTTTTCTGTAGAACATTCCCATCGAAGCTTCCCTAACAGCAGCAAATGTTTCACAGTGGCCGACACGCTTCCACTTGTCGTACGTGGTATTTGCGATGCAGTAAAAGCTGACTGCACTGCAACTCAAATTGTTTATGAAATGACACTCCGACTTCCAGAAAAATTCGTGGATCCTTCGTCTTCTTCAATGAATATGGATCTAAACGCCTACACGAGTAGGCTTACAAACGCAATGCGTTCAGTTTAACGTGTTTCTACTCACCGTCTATCAACAGATGTTTTCGTTCAACCTTTCCTACTATATAGTACACACGTCACTGTTAATCGCGAATCAGTTCGATGACTTCTCGAAACGGCATGCGACTGACCCTTCAAATTCCGTCAGGGTGAACCTAAGTACTGTATCATCGATAAGAACGGAACTAAATATAGCCTCAGGATCGATCGCCGTAAATCCGTGTATTTAGGAGGAAATACTTATAATGTCTATCTTCCCTCAGTACAATGGAAAAACACGAGTCTCACAATTACGGCAACTCACCTAATAATCAACAACCAACCGACTCTGGCAGAAGAAAAATGTTCCCAGAACGCACAAGCGATTACTAAACGTAAAGCAATACATAACACTTTAATCTTTTAATGATCCCCGTCATATTAAAAGACTAGTATTTGAACGAGGGATATTCTTTTCGACAAATTCTCTTCAGGTTTTACAATTACATATCCAAATTATTAATCCGAAAAATGGTCAGGTCAAGGACAAAGTATATCGTTTAGAGCATGTGAATTAAGGATTGTGATAAACAAAATACAGTGATAATTGTTAATGTTAATATGACTCGTATAGAATGTTAACTTGAATCAGCTTATATGTTAATTAAAATTTTAAGATCCATGATCAGAATAAATGTGGGTTAAATAGGGTGAGAGAGAAATAATAGTGCAACTACAATTCGATCAAATAAGTAAAACGTAATACGGATGGATGAATGTGAAGTGAATGAATCATGTATAGGGTAGATTAATGATGTTTGACCAATAATACGAATAATAATAATGATAGTAATAATAATAAAAAGATTTATGAATAATGACAACAGGGAAAATTAAAATTGACTACGAAAGGTCATAGTCAAATTGGGTCATTCAATAGTTAAGGTTACGACTGATTGATTGGCTTTGATGTTGGCCAGGGGAAGAGGAGTGGTTGAATATATTTCTTCTTCTACGCGCTTAATGGTTACAACGAAGCTAAAAAAATGAAAAAAGAATGACCACCTCATTTTGTACTTATCAGTTCAACTGCTCCTGTGGAGTGAGTTATATTAGTCGAATTTCTGGGAATTTACGTTTTCGTGCTCGTAAACACCTTCCAGCGTGGCTTAATAAAGGTTTGATGAAGAAGGTGGACAGCTCAATATTGGCCGATTAGGTACAAACAGGTCATAGTGCCAGTATAAACCAATCTTTTTCAATTATTCATAAGATAAGTAATTTTTTGCCAAAACTGGTCAAACTGAAAGTCCTTCAAACGGCTGAGGCAGTAGCCAACCGGATAAAGAAACCGGAGCTATGCGTCCGCTCAACATATTTTTTTCAGATTTGCGAGGAATTTCATCAGAAATATGTGAATCATCAGGAAAAGCCATACCTGGTACAATAACATGAGAATTCTGACAAATTGATTGATTAGAAACCGTTGTCTCACAAGGATTCTGAGTTTCATTTAACTCCGAACTGCTATATGACTCTACACTATCTTTTAAAATCGCTGATAAAAATAAATGATCATTATGAATACTCAACTAACTAGAATCAGAATTACAAGACTTAATATTAATTGCAGTAAGATGAACACGTGGTGTCGGTTATTATGCTAAGCCCAAAAAGCTTTCGGACATCCCAGTTTATTCATTCTACTTGAGCCATACTCTGACCTTGTTATTTATTCACTCATCAATCTAGACTGTTTTTATATGAGCGTATATGTGTGTGCACATCATATCCCATGACTCATTGCATGTTTGTAGCTTTATTTTGTCTGACTATAAATATTGAGTAACGCTTGACTAAAATGGAGTTGGCTTCCCATCCATCTTCCCTGCATGTCATTTTGCTTTGCTCTGTTTCATTCGCTTCATATACAAAATATATGTATTCACAAATCAATTCTCGTTATTCGACTTATTTAATTCCGTTATTGGCTAACGCGATTAAATTGACGATTATATGCGAGAATAGGCGATAACAACCATTCGTACGATCTTGGAGTCAGATCAACGGGCCACTAAAAACATTAGTATTACAGACTGACTGAATATGTCGAATATCACCACACTCAAAGCACTTAGAAT